CTATTAGCCAGAGCACAGGCACCCGAGAGCCCTAAGTCTTGTGCTCAGAAGCGCGTCTCTACAGCTTCCTTTGGCCAGGCAGCACCTGGTCAAACACTTGAACTTGGGGACCTGGAGGCGCAGCCCCTGTGTAAATCCTGACTCCCTTGTCAGTCTCCTAAGCTGACAAGGACACATCAGGTTTCACGAAGGCAAATCGGTACCGCTGGATGGCAGCCTTGTACCGCTAATGTGAATCAGGCATTTCCCAGGGCCAGCCCCCTCACTCTCCCTCCGCCCTTCGCTACAAAAAAAAAAATAAAAAAAAAAGCCACCAGAGGAATCCAATATGAACAATAGGCAATGCACACCCAATTGAACACTCTGAGGGTGACCAGAAATATACGGACACTGACATGTAAATTTTCACGAACGGGATACATAGGAAATGATCTCAGGGAGTCCTTCTGACTCAGCTGTCAGCTGGTCCATTGGATTTCCCACTGCACGCGACAATTGGATTAACCGCTGCTAAGCATAAGATTGGACGGACCCCTTTAATCGCCTGGCTCTGGGCCGCGGCCGGCCCCCGAGCCCTGAAAACCAAGTGGCCAGAGAAGAGCAGAGGACTGGCTACGGTGCCAGGTGACCAGGGGAACTGCAGATGACACTGTCCAGAGCGAGCAGTGAGAGCTGTGACACCATGTGGCAAGGGACTGGAGCGCTAAGACAGGGTGTGAGAAGACCCTCGGAGGATCCCCAGGGAAGACCCCTGAAGATCCTCTTGCACCAGTAGCCCGAGAGGACAAGGTTCCCGCTCCCCGGATGTGGGAATGTGGTCGGCCAGAGTGATGAGGAGAGGGATCCCAGATGTCAGAAGTGCTATGGTGGCCTTTCCAAGCCCCTTCCTCCTGGCGACAGAACCCCAAAGCCTCCCCAGCACCCTAGGAGTAACCAGGCTGCTGCTTCTTGGAAGGCTTCTGGTGTCTCTCTGTGCCTTTTTTGACCCACAAAAAGGCAGAGGTAGAGGCGGGCTCTCAGGGAGGGTGGGATCTGTGGAGCCACAGTGCCATGGGGCGGGCAGAATCCTTCTCCAGCAGACCTGCCAGCAAGTGCCCTGCACCTGGCGGTCCCATGTGGAAGACTTTCGAAAGTGCAGGGTTTGGGCATCCGGGAGCATTGTGGGGCAGGTCCAGGTGGCCGCACACCTGCACTGTGGCGAAGAAAGAGACAGGGGGGCCCTGGAAGAAGCAGCGCTCCCCCAGCTGTGCGCCCTGACTCCCCTGTGCTGAGGGCGTGGCCTCGGTGGCAGCCATGTTCACAGCTCAGCAGCTGCAGCTCCTACCTGGCCCTGTGGCCCTGGAGGGTGGCTCTGCTGAGGGAGCCAGGTCCACTAGTGGGCTCCCAGCAATCTTCGTCCAGCGGAGGCCTGGAACCCCACCACCAGGGAAACTGGGAAAGGGTAGCAGGCTGCAGCCATGGGAGGTACAGCTTCTTCCTGGCCACTGGAGCACTTCACCATGGCGCTTGGGCATGCACTCCCAAGCGCAGGAGCTGGAACCAGACCAGTCATAGGCCAGCAGGTGCAGGGCAGCATAGACGGATAAGGTGTGTGTTTGGCAACCTAGTTCTCGTGCCTAAAGGAGAGCCTGTGTCCCAGGACACACAGATTCCCACCTGGGGCATTCCTGCCATGTGTGACACAGTGAACCCATAGCCATTGGGCACTGTGTACCCAGGAAACCGATCACAGGGGCTCGGATCCCTTTGTGGAGAGGACATTATCCTCTGGATTGCGTTGATAGAGGTCATCTTCCGTCAATTCACGTCCAGAACTCACCGTATGTAAGAGTTCCAAGCCCCGCCCCCTAGGTAGAAACCCATCCCTTCCCGACCATCGGTGGACACACAAGGAAACACACACACACACACACACACATACACACACAAATGCAGGCATGCTCATTAGCTCGGCTGGTTCTTGAAGTTAGATTGTGGGCGTGGCTTGACTGTCAGTGTGACACCATTTGGGGCTTAGGTTCAGTCCGAATCGGGAGGTTAGGTCCTGGCTGTTGCAGTAGGCATGATTGTGGCACAAAACGCACAAGGACCCAGAATGCTGAAAGGGAAACTTGTATCAAACAAAAAGGACCATAATGGTCTTTCTGGAAGCTTTCTTTAATGCCATGGAGGCATGGCGGTCGCCGTGGTCCTGAGTTTTGGCTGCCTATTAGCCAGAGCACAGGCACCCGAGAGCCCCAAGTCTTGTGCTCAGAAGCGCGTCTCTACAGCTTCCTTTGGCCAGGCAGCACCTGGTCAAACACTTGAACTTGGGGACCTGGACGGGCAGCCCCTATGTAAATCCTGACTCCCTTGTCAGTCTCCTAAGCTGACAAGGACACAGCAGGTTTTACGCGGGGCAAATCGGTACCGCTGGATGGCAGCCTTGTACCGCTAATGTGAATCTGGCCTTTCCCAGTGCCAGCCCCCTCACTCTCCCTCCGCCCTTCGCTACAAAAAAAAAAAAAAAAAAAAAAAAAAAAGCCACCAGGGGAATCAAATCTGAACAATGGGGCAATGCGCACCCAATTGAACACTCTGAGGGTGATCAGAATAATATGGACACTGGCATGTGAATTTTCCCAAATGGGATACATAAGAAATGATCTCAGGGAGTCCTTCTGACTCAGCTTTCAGCTGGTTCATTGGATTTCCCGCTACACGGGACAATTGGATTAACTGCTGCTAAGCGCTAGATTCGCAGGAACCCTTTAATTGCCTGGCTGTGGGCAGTGGCCGGCCCCCCAGCCCTGATAACCAAGCGGCTAGAGAAGAGCAGAGTACTGGCCAGGGTGCTAGGTGACCAGGGGAACTGCAGATGCCTCTGTCCACAGCGAGCAGGGAGAGCTGTGACACCATGTGGCAAGGGACTGGAGCGCTAAGACAGGGTGGCAGAAAACCCCCAGAAGATCCCCAGGGAAGACCCCTGAAGATCCTCTTGCACCAGTAGCCCGAGAGGACAAGGTTCCCGCTCCCCGGAAGGGGGAATTCGGTCGGCCAGAGGGATGAGGAGAGGGATCCCAGATGCCACAACTGCTTTGGTGGCCTTTCTAAGCCCCTTCCTCCTGGCGACAGAACCCCAAAGCCTCCCCAGCACCCTATGAGAAGTAACCAGGCTGCTTCTTCTTGGAAGGCTTCTGGTGCCTCCCTGCCCCTTTTTTGACCCACAAAAGGCAGAGGTAGAGGCCGGGCTCACAGGGAGGGTGGGATCTGTGGAGCCACAGTGCCATGGGGTGGGCAGAATCCTTCTCCAGCAGACCTGCCAGCAAGTGCTCTACATCTAGCGATCCCATGGGGAAGACCTGTGAGCGGGCAGGGTCTGGGCATCTGGGAGCATTGTGCGGCGGGTCCGGGTGGCCACACACCTGCATGGTGCCTAAGGAAGAGACAGGGGGGTCCTGGAAGCAGCAGAGCTTCTCCAGCTGGGCGCCCTGACTCCCCTGGGCTGAGGGGCGTTGCCTTGGTGGCAGTCATTTTTCTAAGCTCAGCAGCTGCAGCTCCTACCTGGCCCTGTGGCCCCGGATGGTGGTTTTGCTGAGGGAGCCAGGTCCACTAGTAGGCTCCCTGCATTGTGCGCCCAGCCGAGGCCTGGGATCCAACCACCAGGGAGACTGGGAAAGGGTAGCAGGCTGCAGCCATGGGAGGTACAGCTTCTTCCTGGACCCCGGAACACTTCATCATGGCCCTCGTGCTCGCACCTGCAAGCGCAGGAGCTGGCCCCAGACCAAGCAGAAGCCAGCAGGTGCAGGGCAGTATAGAGTGAAGAGGTATATGCTTGGCATCCTTTTGTTCGCGCCTAAAAGCGAGCCTGTGTCCCAGGACACACAGATTCCCACCTGGGGCATTCCTGCTATGTGGGACAGAGTGAACCCATAGCCATTGAGCACTGTGTTCCCTGGGAACTGATCACAGGGGCTAGAATCCCTTTGTGGAGAGGACATCATCCTCTGGTTTTGAGTTCATAGCGGCCAGCTTCCCTCAGTTCACCTCCAGAACTCACTGTAAGTGTTCCAAGCCCCGCCCCCTAGGAAGGAACCCATCCCTGCCCGACCATTGTTGGACACAGAAAGAAACACACACAGAGACACACACACACACAAATGCAGGCATGCTCATTAGCTTGATAGGTTCTTCAAGTTAGATTGTGGGCGTGGCTTGAGGGTCAGTGTGAGACCATCTGGGGCTTAGGTTCAGTCCGAATCGGGAGGTTAGGTCCTGGCTGTTGCAGTAGGCTCATGATTGTGGCACAAACCGCACAAGGACACAGAGTACTTGAAGGGACACGTGTATCAAACCCAAAAGAATATAATGGTCTTTCCGGAAGCTTTCTGTAATGACAGGCAGTCATGGTGGTCCCCATGGTCCTGAGTCTTTGCTTCCTATGAGCCAGAGGACAGGCACCCGAGAGCCCTAAGTCTTGTGCTCAGAAGCGCGTCTCTACAGCTTCCTTTGGCCATAAAGCACCTGGTTAAACACTTGAACTTGGGGACCTGGACCCATAGCTCCTGTGTAGATCCTCACTGCTTTGTCAGTCTCCTAAGCTGACAAGGGCACAGCAGGTTGCATGCCAAGTCAACCCCCTTACTCTCCCTCCACCCTTTGCTACAAAATAACAACAACAATAATAATAAAAAAAGAAAAAAAATAGGTACAAGGGTATCAAATCTGAACAACGGGCCAATGCTCACCCAATTGGCCAGAAGGATGAGGAGAGGGATCCCAGATACCACCACTATTTTGGTGGACTTTCCAAGCCCCTTCCTCCTGGCGACAGGACCCTAAAGTCTACAGAAGAAATGGGCTTCAGAAACTGGCAGCCCTTGTGCTGTATAGTGCACAAAATGAATACTTTTGAGACCCCGCTAATATAAAGAATATAAGAAATATTTCATCAAAAATTTTTCAATATTCTGTAATACATAATTATTAATAAGGAACCACAACATTTGCTGATGACTTACTATTATCGTGTTCCATTCACTTCCAAAGTGGCTTTACTGGCACTTCGCTCACCCCTTTGCTCAGCCAGTGCCGCCAGTGCCGCCAGTCTACTCACTCCCAGCTTAGGCGCCTTAGTGCCTACGCACTGCGCCTACGCACTAGGCGCCTATGCACTACGCGCCTACGCGTCACACATCTCTGCGCCACACATCTACGCGCAGACCCGGAAGCGCAACATTTCTTTATAGTAATACCAGCAAGGAATAATTTGTGGTCGATTGCCACGTCATCAGTCTTCGACTGACTTGTTTGGTGTGCGTAACCGGAAATATTTTGCTGTCCATTATTGTAACCCAGGGGATACTCCGCACTGGGACACAGATAAAAAATGTTTTGAAAAGCGCATTTATTTCCTATGTAGGGTCTGCAGCCGGCTTGTGCTGGGAAGACAGGACCGGACTGCAGCATTGTTGGGTCGAATCCTGGGTTCAAAATAAGACCACCGGAGGCTGATGATTAATTTAAAAAGCTCTGCTTGCCAAAACTGGTTTGGCTCAATGGATAGAGCATTGGACTGCTGACTGAAGGGTTCAGGTTCGATTCCCATGAAGGCCATGTACCTTGGTTGCAGGCACATCCCCAGTAGGGGGCGTGCAAGAGGCAGCTGATCGCTGACTCTCTCATAGATGTTTCTGTCTCTCTCCCTCTCTGTAAAAAAATCAATAAAATATATACATATTTTTATGTATGTATGTATGTATGTATGTATGTATTTTTTTATTAGGAAGATTGTCTTTATTTAAAAAAATATATTTTATTGATTAAAAAAAATTTTTTTTGCCCCCCTCCCTCCCATACATACCCTCCCTCCCCAGAGTTTTATGTCCATTGGTTGTACTTATATGCATGTATACAATTCCTTCGGTTGATCTCTTATCTCCCGCAGATCTCCCTACACTCCCCGCTGTAATTTGACAGTCTGCTTGTTGCTTTACTGTCTCTATTATATATCTACCTTTTGGTTCATCAGTTTATAATGTTCTTTATTATCCATAAATGAGTGAGGTCATGTGGTGTTTCTCTTTCATTGATTGGCTTATTTCACTCAGCATGATGTTCTTCAATTCCATCCAGGTTGCTGCAAATGATGAGAATTTCTTCTTTTTTATGGCAGCATTGTGTAGATGTTCCATAGTTTTTGGATCCAATACAAAGCAACAATAACAACACAGGAATAAGCATAACAATTTCGCTCAAAAGCATAAAAATTCACAATAATCAACATTCACACAAACAATGAGAATAGGATAGAGAGGAGAACAGTTTTTTTTTTTTTTAACTAGTTAATATAGTGCAGAGAGTGGTATTTATACACTTGGATCAGGGGTTGAAACTTAGGTCTATAAGTATAGTGAGAGCTTTAGCAGGGGGTATACAGAAAGAATAGAGGAAAAACTAAAGCTGGAAAGCGATAGGATAAACAGGAGACTAAAAGGGTAAAGTTTAGTAAGAGAGTGATGGTATTAAGGTCGAGTTGAGATAGGGTTGAATGATGCTATAGTAGAGATTAAAATATAATAGAATGAAGGTTACTCCCAAAGTAACATAAAGAAAAAATAAAATGGTACTGGAGGGGGAAAAAAAAAGAAACAAAAATTGCAAAATAGCAGTAGTAATAGTGATGATAGAGATTGAAAAATGTAATAATTAAAAAGGTAAAATCAAGTAGGGAAAAAAGAAAAAATTCGTTTCTTAAGTAAAAGATGTAAAAAAATGAAAATTAAATAAAAGATATAAAAAATGAAAATAAAATAAAGAATAGTAAAATTAGCATAAAAATGTCCAGTAGTGGTCATTCACTTCCTTTGTTATTGTATATGGCACGCTTGATTCTCGGACCAGACAGTCTTGCAGTTCCCAGCATTCCACTGCACCTCCGTTTTGTAAGGTAGTCCTTAATTTTAAGTAGGCTTTATCTTAGTTATTTGTGTCCATTTATTTTTGATTAATTAAAAGTAAAAAAAAAAAAAAAAAAGGCAGTTTGTAATTCAGTCCCTAGGTGGCAGTGTTTCCGGTTTCACCTCCCAGTCTTTTGGTTGCTCTGGCCTTCTTTCTCTATGGCTCTAGCTGGCAGAGTGCCAACTGGCCCTGAGACTATCTCTTCTGGCTCCGATCTCTTGTTTCCAGGAAGGCAATTTCCCCCTGCAATTTCCCCGGATATGCCCAACTGGGCAGTCCTTCACTAGTATTCAGAAGCAAGGGGGTGAAGGGGAACAGGTGCCAAGGTGTCCAGATATTTCGCCCTTGGTGAGACAGCCACGATTCTTAACAATCTGTCCCGTGTCCCCTGGCATTTTAAAAAAGTCCCGCTTCTGGGGAAGATTACTCCAAACCCAGCACTGGGTGTTGCCGGGCAGGATTCTCGCTGCAGCCTTCGTTGGGCGCAGATCGGCACGGGGGTCGCGCAGTGCTCCACGGCTACAGTGGAGGCGGGACCTCGTGGGAGCTCCGCTGCTACCATCAGGACCCAGAACCCTCATGCTATCCCGGCAAACTCTGACCTTTCCGTGGGTGATTGAAGAACTCCCTTGAATCCACGTGTTTGCCCCAATTAGGGCATCACGGCTGCTCGATGGACTCCTCTGCTGTGGGTTTTCCAGGCCTCAGAGAAGATCCTCCTTTCCTGGTAAAATGGTGCAGCCTTTTCTCGGAGCCCGTAGCTCCGGGAGAGGTCACCGCCGCCGCCGCAGTGCTGGCCACTTGGTCAGGAAATCCTGTCCAGCAGACCCTTCCTTACCTTCCTTGAGAGTTCCACTGCCCCTTAGCTGCCAATCAACATTCCCTGAGAAACTCAGACACTGCTTTTATTTTTAATTTTTTAATTTTTATATTTTAAAAATATATTTTATTAATTTTTTGATTTTTTTTTTGCCCCCTTCCCTCCTTCCCATACATACCCTCCCTCCCCAGAGTTTTATGTCCATTGGTTGTACTTATATGCATGTATACAAGTCCTTCGGTTGATCTATTATCTCTATCAGATGTTCCTCCCCTCCCCACTGTAATTTGACAGTGTTCTTATTGCTTTACTGTCTCTATATCTATCATTTGGTTCATCAGTTTATAATGTTCTTTATTATCCATAAATGAGTGAGGTCATGTGGTGTTTCTCTTTCATTGATTGGCTTATTTCACTCAGTATGATGTTCTCCATTTCCACCCAGGTTGCTGCAAATGATGAGAATTCCTTCTTTTTTATGGCAGCATTGTGTAGATGTTCCATAGTTTTTGGATCCAATCATCTGCTGACTGGCACCTAGGCTGTTTCCAAATTCTGGCTATTGTAGATTGTGCTGCTATGAACATAGGGGTGCGTATATCCTATCTGATTGGTGTTTCTAGTTTCTTGGGATATATTCCCAGGAGTGGGATTACTGGGTCAAATGGGAGTTCCATTTTCAGTTTTTTGAGGAAACTCCACACTGTTCTCCACAGTGGTTGCACCAGTCTGCATTCCCACCAGCAGTGCACGAGGGTTCCTTTTTCTCCAAAACCTCGCCAACACTTGTTATTTGTTGATTTGTTGATGTTGGCCATTCTGACAGGTGTGAGATGGTATCGCATTATTGTTTTGATTTGCATCTCTCGGATAATTAGTGACTTTGAGCATGTTTTAATGTGCCTTTTGGCCTCCCTTCTGTCTTCTTTTGAAAATATTCTATTTAGGTCCATTCCCCATTTTTTAATTGGATCATTCATTTTCCTTTTACTTAGTTGTATAAGCTGTCTGTAGATGTTGGAGATTAAACCTTTATCAGTGGGAACATTTGCAAATATGTTCTCCCACACAGTGGGATTTCTTGTTGTTTTGTTGATGGTTTCTTTTGCTGTAAAAAAGCTTTTAATTTTGATGTAATCCCATTTGTTTATTTTCACTTTCTCTTCCATTGCTCTAGGGGCAGTATCAGTGGAGTTCTTTTGGCATATGTCAGAGATTTTGCAGCCTGTGGATGCTCCTAGTATTTTTATGGTTTCCCTTCTGATGTTTAAGTCCTGTATCCATTTTGAGTTTACATTTGTGTATTGTGTAAGTTGGTGATCTAGTTTTATTCTTTTGCATGTGTCTGTCCAATTTTCCCACCACCACTTATTGAAGAAACTGTCTTGACTCCATAGTATATTCATGCCTCCTTTGTCAAATATTAATTGAGCATAGTGATTTGGGTTGTTATCTGGGTTCTCGATTCTATTCCATTGATCTATATGTCTGTTCTTGTGCCAGTACCAGGCTGTTTTGAGAACAGTGGCTATGTAATACAGTTTGAAGTCTGGTATTGAGATCCATACCACTTTACTCTTCTTTCTCAGGATTGCTGTGGCTATTTGGTGTCTTTTATTGTTCCAAATAAACTTTTGGAGAGTTTTTTCTCGGTCAGTGAAATATGCCATTGGTATTTTAATGGGGAGTGCATTGAACCTATAGATTGCTTTAGGAAGTATGGTCATTTTGATGATGTTGATTCTACCAATCCATGAACATGGTATGTTCTTCCATCTCTTTACATCTTCCTCTCTCTCTTTTTTCAGTGTCGTGTAGTTTTCCGCATATAGGTCTTTTACTTCCTTAGTTAAATTTATTCCTTGGTATCTTAATTTGTTTGGTGCGATGGTAAATGGAATTGCTTTTTTAGTCTCTGTTTCTGCAGTTTCTCTGTTGCTGTATAGAAATGCCATGGATTTCTTGGCGTTAATTTTGTATCCTGCTACATTGCCAAATTCATTTATTAAGTCAATTAGTTTTTTTAATGGAGTCTTTTGAGGTTTTTATGTACAATATCATATCATCTGCAAATAAGGATAACTTTACTTCTTCTTTTCCAATTTGGATGCCTTTCCTTTCTTCTTCTTGCGTAATTGCAATGGCTAGTAATTCCAGTACTATGTCAGACAGGAGTGGCGAGAGTGGGCATCCCTGTCTTGTTCCTGTTCTTAGAGGGAATGGTTTTAGTTTTTGCCCATTGAGTATAATGTTGGCTGTGGGTTTATCATATATAGCTTTTATTATGCTGAGGTATGATCCTTGTACTCCCACCTTGTTGAGAGTTTTTATCAGGAAAGTGTGTTGGATGTTATCAAATGCTTTTTC